ATGTTTCACAATCATGTCCGCTACACATGTATGAAATTGAGGTTCGCGAAGTCGATAAAGAGATGAAAGGGATCAAAATTCACTTCAAAGGTTTTAGCGAAGATACAGATCAGATGAGTGGCGTGACTATGGTTCTTTATTAATTATTTGACCTCGAAGGATTTCACACTGTGTCTTCACCTTCTGCACTGCTCCTTCATTAGAGTAAATTTTGAACTGATATTTCGGTCCGGTTTTCCATCCGTTCAGCAAATTTGCCAGTGATTTTTCTCCTGCCTTGCTCGCACGTCCATAGGCCGTTTGCAGTACTGAAATCTTCTTTTTGAACACGTTTAGAATACGGATGTTATCAACAGCAACATCGCCAACACAAGATTCTTTAAAAATTCTTTTCACGACGGCGGCTATGGCGGACACGTAACCAATTTCTGCGTTTTCATTCTCCTTGCCATGATGTATAAACGAGAAAGTTGAAAGAAATAAAATGTAGATTCCGGCAATGCAAGTCAATATTATAGGAAATTATTGACTCAAAACGCAAATCTGATTTTAACCTGACAATATTTTCACGGCTGGTATAGTAACTTTGTATCAATTCACATCCTAGGCCTAAGTACCTGAGCCAAACCTTGAAACGGAGATAAAAGGTTCACAGAAGTACGATAATATTAATAGGCACACTTACTTGTTCATTTCGTGTCGGAATGAAGGAACCGTTGCTTCCCCTACCATCCGCATTGCCAATTGCTTTGCTGCCCGGTATCAAAGACAGAACCAACAGCAGCAAACATGGGTCCGTGGAAAAATCTTGATCAATATTGATGAATTTGTTACCGAAATGCGCGCAATATTGTAAATTTTTAAATCTGGTGGTAACTGAGCGATCCCAGTATGCACTGGGACGCTATGCCCCAGTTTTCTCCATCCGATCTATATTTACCCTTTGTGGGCCTTCTAAAAAACACTCAACTTGCCAAAAGTAATCGCCCAAGTCCGTGGATTTTATTCAGCAATCGACAACAAAACAAAGGAACAGATATGTGTTAAAGGTGCAATTCTCGAATTCCGGAGGTAACTTGTCATGAATCTTCAAACAAAAAGATAACGAAAGGAAAAACTACAATTTTTACGAATATTTTGACCGAGATCTACCGTGGGCGTGGTCACTGGAAATATGAGAGACCTTTTGTTAACAAGGAGTTTCATATGTTTAAGTTTGGTGATTAATTATCAGTAACAATGGTTACCAGATGTGATGTCATAGTAGGTTTCAACTAGAAAAGTAAATTATGCCTGTGGGTAAAATGAAGCAAAGTACTTATTTATGTGTTATTTTACACGTCAAGCACAAAAGATTACCAATTCTTTCTTTTTTACGAGATTTCAATTTCTGGGTAAAATCCAAGATGGCGACCATTTCTGGCGACGCCACTGGCCTCCAGCAGCACCACCACCCATAAAATATAGCTCATCTTGTTGGGAAGATAAAAGGCTTTTTACTATGACGCAAAATCTTTTCGAAATACTGCAGTATATCAAAAACTCAAGGGAGATGATATTTTTCTCTTTTGCATGCCGAATGAAGCCATATGAATGCCCAAAAGTGTTACTGAATGTTGATTACAACGCAAAAATCCTACTAATTAAATCTGATTTATGAGCAAATGTTTGTTTGTTCCCGCTAATAAACGTATCTTCGCAATATTGGGCTCCTTTTCACGCTAATTATTGCTCATTTTCTCGTTATGAAAAGCAAAAGTCGTAAAATGACCCCGGGTATCTCCTTTTCCCGTCAAAATGACGCTGGCTCACGCGCACACTACTTAGTATTGAGAAAATCTTGTTTTCGTAATCTAAAGGTTTCTGTTGTTATAAAAATACTTCGTACCTTCCTCCGTCATCTCATCTGAGTCTTCATGTTCCTCGTCGCCACAGTCTTCTTCGCCCAATTCTGTTTCATTCTCGTCCATTTCCTCTTTAAAATAGCAGTGAAGGAAAAAAAAATTAATAACCACCACATTGATAGTCTGAAAAATGAGTTTCGTTTGTTTCACCATTCGTAAAATTTACTAACCTTCTGAAGGCATTTCATTCTCTGGCACATCGACTGTTTCCTCACCATCTATTTCCCCAAGTTCCCACAACGAATCCTGTAGAGTGCAGACATTAGAAAAACTAATCCATAGGTACCTTTGCTTAGCACTTATATGTGTTTTACTGTTGCTTTGAATGCTGTTACTCTGCTGTGTCATACACTTTTAAGTCTTGCACAGTTTTTGAATCAGTACAAGATGTGACTGAACATGATCACAGTTCTTAGTTCTGAAAATGCCGCGCCCTATGAGTAAGATGCCATGCAAATTAGCCCCAGAAATGAAACATTGGAGAAAAAAGTTTCAGTAACAAAATACTAGTCTGTTTTTGTGTTTGCCGGTAGTACGTAAGGGGCTCTTCGACAAAGTGAAATGAGAAAGCAAAATGATTTGTAGTGATATTTAGCATAAATACCACGTGTGATATTTCAAAATCGTTATACGAAATTTCATGAGCTGTCAGGCGAGTGAAATTTGAGACAATTTTGAAATATCACGAGTGGTATTCTTGCCAAATATCACGTACAAATCATGCTATTATTTGTTTAAGGCTACTACCCACAAAAGGTTTGTAATTTTCACATGTAGGTATCCCTGCTTTAAGCCAACCAAATTGCAGAAATTTCTCATGTAGTAGTATAATCGCTGAAATTTTGCGCTAAAATTAAGGAGTAAGTCGTCACCTATGATATTAAGGCATTAATTCACCAGAAAGAAGATATTGAAGCGATATTGGGTAACCGAAACCTCCACGGCTAATTAAAAGTAAACCAAGCCGTTAAGTATCTCTGCAGTATATGAACATTTTTGTCACTTATAACTATTTTTTCTTATTGAACAAATTTTTCATAATGTACCCTTTTTATACTAACACCTAAGTAATTCTTGCATTTCAGAAGTCTGTGTTATAAAGAACTCAGGTAAAACTCAAGATCACTCCTGTTAAAACAGGAGTGTTTATGAGTAGCTCAGTGGAAAACTTTTTATTTATCAGATTTTCACTCACCGAAACTGCGGTTCCAAATTCTACTAAAAGGGCAGCCTCAAAAGACGAACACGGAGCTTATTACTGAATCAACTTCTAAAACTGGGTATCGAAAGCAAAATGCTTCTGATAACTGGATATATATTGGATTAAAAGAGGAATTTTTTTTGTACTGGAATTTGATTTTTAAATAAACAGCCGAAACTTTAGCTGTAACTCAATGCAGGCAAATCCCTTTCGCTTGCCACTCTGTAAAACAAATTTCAAGTAATTTTTAGTAGAAATCAATGTTTAATCATCTTAGTCATCAGACAACGTACGTTATCTAAACTGTCCAAATACTTACCCAGCGGTTTAGTATTTATAATTTCTGTGTTTTTTTTTTTTAATTTGTTGTTGCGTTAGGTTTTCTAGCTAGTTTATGCCGGTTACTGTTATTTTATTTTAGTATTATCATTATTTTTGACATATTGTAAGTTATTGTGCTATTCTTAGAACACGAGTTGTCACTCAGTACCATATTGGAATTGAAGCATTTCAAGCACAATACTATTTTTAAAATGTTAAAACATTCATGTTTGAGTGTTTCATGAAAGGCACTTTTGCTCTTTCCACCTTAAACATGTATTTTTTAACTTAAACTTGCATTCTATCACGACTGGTCATTTAATAAGAGTAATACCCTAAAAATACATCATTAAACAGAGAATCTAAGAGAACGAGATCTAAAATAATTTTCCAATTGAAAGTTTGTATGATAATTGATCGAGTAAAGACCGAGAAACTGATTGTTGGACAGTTACCTCACGACTAATAATGAAACAAGTTGATGTGCTGAGCACTGCAAAGCAGTTTATTTGTTCTGCAGGAACGTGGCAGAATCATGAATAGCGTACAGTGGTTACAGTAAACTATATATAATTTGAGAAAGTTTGAAAAATAAATTGATGTCGCGCGTTTTATATTATACACTTAATGTCAGATCCCGAGGGAAACAGTTAGTTTTGTTTCCCCGAGATCTTCTGCTAAGCGTATGTTTGAAAAGGTGACTGTTTTGATTTTTCGCTTTAGTGTTTGTTAAACTGTGAATAGTTACATAGAGTCTTGAAGAAGGTGCACTTTAATATTGATGCAGTAGTCAAGAGACCAAATAGAAGGAGTGTGTTTACAACAGAGCGATCGCTGTGTTCGCCACTGAAACAGCGCTTTCATCGAAGTGAAAGTTCCGTCGGCCAGTGTGCCTTTACAATAAACAATTGATCTGGCACGAATATCAGAGAGAAATTGACATACAATACTCATGCAATCAGCGGATTCTAAGAAATCTTCAGTCAAAGTACTCTCGGACTACCACATGCGAGCGTGCCAAACTTAAGCCTGTTGCTCCCGGAGGGGAAGGCGGAGCGGGTATTCCCGGAATTTATAAAACCGGTCGATGTTGTACTAATTTAATAAAACAGCGGTTGGTAATTGCCGGGACAGGATAAATAAAGATCATCAAGGCTCTTAAAACAACTGTAAGAAAGCTGATGATAGATACCAGAACAATAAAACATTGTCAAAAGAATACACCAACCCCATCACTGTATGTAACACCCTGAGGAAGAAAGGCCGTGCCTTCGAAATATTGGTAAAAATTATATATATTCCCGACAGTAAAATCAGCCTTGCGTCTTTTGTTTAATACGGATCAGAAGAGCGTCATATGTCCATGGGTATATTTAGTCTTGGAATATAAAAATGCTGGTGGGCAAGACACAAACTGTGTGAGAGCGTCCAAGAGTACTGCCACCTTTTTTCACATGATTTCAGGCGCACAGGGTTAATGATTCGTTTAAGGAGTGGTCTGGCTTCAGCGTTAAATAGGATCTCTACGGGTCAAGGATGATAGCACAAATTCGTTTAACATTTTATTTTGCTTTTTAAAAGTTTACAGAACTGAATAGTTTTAAGGTGTTGAAATGAAATTTGGGTTCCATGTTTTTCTTTTTCGATGCCACAACAAAACGTTTAAGTGGACTGAAAGGTACAGCGAAATTTTTATCCCCTGTTACGGCGATAATATGGGTAAATACAAAAACGGCTGCAGCCATAACACACGTGATAACGACAGCGACGGTAACGATGGCCGTTGCATATGAGCCTGCGATAACGGCAGTAGCGGCAGTGGTAGCGATAATAACAGTAACGTCTGCTCCTTTTGGCATCTGTAACAGAGTTATGGAGAACATAAGTTAATTAACTGTCTGAAATATAATAGGTCACTTGCACGATGACGTGTTTTTACTACTATGAAAAGAAATTCATTTGATGGTTTTTTCCCTCGAATTTAAATTTCGTTATCCCAGTGAGGTTTACATAGCAAAAGCCCCAATTCTATCTTATTTGCATAAGAAAGCAAAACCCTGAAGAATTCTGGTAGTAGTAGTAGTAGTAAAATGATACCATCATGCAAATGACTTATTATGTAAAGAAATGATCGAAACAGATATCAATTTAATCGGCACTACTAGGCTTTCAGTTTCGAACAAAATCAGGACTTTGGGAGTCCAGCCCATGACCATCGATTTTTGACTGGTAAATAGGCTAAGATTGTAATTAGAGCCAGTTTTACAGGCAGTTCTGTTTTTGGAATAAACTAGTGATAGTGATTTTATAAACTGTCTCAACCTGTTCTTTGTTTGGCATTTGGCGTTTGGTTTCTTCCTCAGCTTTATCCCATTACTCCACAATAGAGCCATTTGCGTGTTGCTAAGTAGTTTTTGGGTGTTCGATCGGAGCAAGTGTAGCGGTACTTTATAATAAGAAAGTGGCAAATTATCCTTTAACCCTCGCACGTAAAGGGGGGAGGGGAGGGAGTTGATGCCACCGGCCTATGTGAAGTTTTTCTGAGATTTTTTTTAGACAAAGAAACTAAGCACCTGACGTTTTCGGTAGCTGTCCGTTTCTTTTTCGGGTGCATTTTGAGTTAAGTTTTAAGTTAAGTTTTTTTGTAACTAATAATTGTAAAAATGAGTAATAATTGTAATAGCTAAGACTAAAGACGTATAATAAGAAACCTAAAAATTATTTACAATTCTGCCTGAGGCCATAAAAAAAACTGTTGTTAAATCTATTTGTCTTGCAACGCGGCAAAGTGAAAGTGCGCGCGTGCCTTAGATTTTAGTTTCTCCTATAAAGAGGCGGCAACAACTTTCTTAAGGTGATTCTGTGGTTTTGCACTGCGTATCTCTTACTGCGCATAACAAGATGCCCTCCGTAAAAAAGAGCATGTGAAGTAACATTATTAAAATGAAGTTGACAGAAGAGAAACGCTATTGCAATTTTTACTTGCGGTTGTTTCTTGCCGAGGGGAGACTCAGTGTGGTGGGAATGTGCATAACGTAAGCAGTACGCGTGTTGTTGAGTTCGACTTCCTCACGGAGAACTTCGATAGTGGATGTTTAATTTGTGCTTATTCACTTTGATTTTCATTTAAACGCTATCTTTATCACATTGTATCCTAAATGTGATATCTAGATGTAAATTCTGTGAAAACGGATTTTTTAATACTTTCTTCCCCCTTTCACGTACATTCTATTTTAAAACTCGCCCCAGTCCTCTCTCAAAAATCAAGCAAAATGCATTTGGTGCGCACTTTCTGCAGCTCTACCGCAAAAACGAGTACGGTGACCCCCATTTTTTATTTCATGATTTTAGTAAGGACAGTGCTTCCTTTCGGTGAGAAAAAAATTGGCTCAAATCTATGTTCAGTTTTTTGGCAATTTTACTAAATTGTACGGATTGAGCTATCACGTGTCGAATAGCGCGTGTCCAATTTAATTCTACTTTGGAGCGTAAAGTAAAAACAAGGGCATTAAAAGGCATTTTTATGGTACGTAAGTGGATAAACAATACATTAAAGTCAAATTCTGTGCGATACCACATGCATCATTGAAAAAATCTCTTCTTTTTGCCTAGTTTTGGGCTGCGCGCGGTTTTTGTCCAAAGGTCCAAAATAGCCGTACTTGCCAGCATTGTGACTTCAAAACGAGCACAGTGACCCTCACTTTTTATTAGTTTTTTATCATCTTCTTGACAGGTTACATCAGTGTACCAAGTTTCATATACAATCTATGTTAGCTTCTTTTACTAGGGAATCACCCTAACTTGTGGTTCAGGTCGTGCGCGTGCAATTGTTGTGGTAATGCTCCGCAACCGTTGGTAAACTCATAAGCGCTAAAGCTTGCTGATATTCTATATCAGGACATATGATTCGCATTGCTCTTTTCTGAACGGTTACAAGATACCTAGCCATTTTTTTTTTTTTGTACCTCGGTGAGGGTATGACTTTGTGTGTACTTTCGAGGGTTAATTAATTTTTTTATTTAGAGTAGCTCTCACCTTCACCAGGAGTGATGGCTGTATCAGAGGTGTCTTCTTGTGGCTGGCCTTCATCTACCTCCCCGCCTATTTTGTAAAAAGAAATATTAAGAAACAACAATAGCTTTTTCACGACTCTTCTTTATTCATTGTGTCAAAAAACATCAATAGAGAACTTTCGGTTCGAGGACTAGGACAACTACAAGGACAAGATATCACTTAAAGTTTTTTCGCGTATTTTTCAAAAATAAACAGCCCGGAAAGCTTCATTGCACTTTTTTAACCAGAAAAGCTAGCGCGTTTTTCTTTATTGAAGGAGGTTAAGCCCTCTTCTGATCGCAAAATGATAAAACTTCTAAAATTTGATGACTTGTTTTCATCACTACGACATTAATGCTAAAAATCGTAGTAGAATGACGCCAGCTATCGCGTTTTCCGCCAAAATGACGCTAACTCACGCGCACACTACTTAGTATAGTGAAAGTCTTGTTTTTTGTAATCTAAAGGTTTTTGTTGCTATACAAATACTTGGTACCTTCCTCTGGCATCTCATCTGAGTCTTCCCCGTCCTCAAAGTCTTCTTCGCCCAATTCTGTTTCATTTTCGTCCATTTCGTCATTGAAATAACAATGAACAAAAAAAGAGAAATTAATTACCACTATATTGCATAGTCTGCAAAAAAAAAAGAGTTTATTTTGTTTCAACATTCTTAAAATTTACTAACCTTCTCCAGGCACTTCATTCTCCGGCACATCGGCTGTTTCCTCACCATCTATTTCCCCAAGTTCCGACAACGAATCCTGTAGAGTGCAGACATTCGAAAACTTATTCCATTACCTTTGCTTAGCACTGATATGTGTTTTACTGTTGCTTTGAATGCTCTTACTGTACTTAAGGTGCTGCGTCACTTTTGAGTTTAGCAAAGTTTTTAAATCTGTACAAGGATGTGGCTGAACATGATCACAGTTTTTAGTTTTAAATAGGGCCCTATAGGGAATATGCCAGGGAAATTGGCTCCAGAAATGAAACATTTAAAACAAAAAGTTTTAGTAAAAAATACTATTCAGTTTTTGTTTTTGCTGGTAGTACATTAAAGGCTAACAAAGGGAAACCAGAAAGCAAAAGAAAGCGTTATAACATAGTTCTTTTAACTCGTGGAAGCATGCGTACAGTTTTACAAGTTTCGTGAGATAGTCGAGTTTTTAAAAACTGACTTACCCCTGGGATAAGGGATGCATGGGCTGCCAAAATCATCGCAGCAACAAAAAGTAGCAAAAGACGAGCCATTGCGTTAGAGTAGTTTCTTGCTGGCTTAGTCTTCACCTCACCGCTCTGGAAGAGAAGTGACACGAGTTCAGTGAAAAGCTACCTGCTTTATAGAAGTCTGGAGCACCAGTTGCTGCACATTTATTTGTTCCAATAACATCAATATTGTTCTTAATAATTCTGAGTGCCAAAAGGTTGCGTAAATCCTGGAAAACACTTAAAATAAAGTTCTAGAATGTTGATCAGATTACACTTTGAGGATTCATACATTTATTCAATATTAAGTGGATATCCTGGATATCCTAAATACCCACAGCTAAAAATAAGTTAGCCTGTCTCTCATTAACAGTTACTTCCTTTTGGATACCTCTGCAATTCAGAGACCTTGTGTTACTTGTAATTATTTGTTATTAATGATTCATATATAAAAAACACTTCAAATATTCAGCATTAACACGTACGTGATTGAGGCGCACACTTCAGGCCGATCTATGCTATGAAGAATTTCGACTGAGTAAGTAAATAACAGTCGTGAGAGAGTCATGAAACCACTGAAATGACATCAAAAGTAGATGCCTCTGATAACTGGGCAGATATTGGATCCAGAGTGTATTTTTTGTTTAATAAGCAGGCGAAGTTATAGTTTTGCAAATCTAATTCGTTTCGCTTACCACTTTGTAAAACAAATTTTAAGCAAATTTCTTTCCTTTCTTTCGATGTTTCAAGGTTTTTAAAAATAATGACCTTACATATCAAATAACGAACGTCAATATTTACCCAGTGGTTTACAATAAGTCCCCAATTTTTTCCCTTTTGCTGTTGTTTTATTATTTCATCCAGTAATTTATTTTTTGGTAATTGCAAGTTGTAATGTTATCGATAACAAACGTAGTATCATAAAATAAAATAAAATAAACTTTATTAATGTTCCAGAACACGAATTTCCACTCAATGCTTTATATTGGCATTGTTTTAAAATATTTAAGGCACAATATTTTTTTAACATTCATGTCTGAGTGTTTCATTAAAGTTACTTTCCTCTTTCGACTAAAAGTACCATCAGAAGATGTAGCAAGACGACATAAAAGTGGCCTTTTAAAGACAACAAAAGCATTATATTGTTTCACATTTTACGTGCATTTTATCACGACCAGTCATTTAATAAGAGCTTTTAATTCAAATGAGATATGACACGACAAATTGTAAATTAAAACCCTAAAAATACATTTGAATCTGAAGAGAGATTCGAAGTAATTGGTAGTTTTTTGTTTAACAGTGCTCTACTAATCTATGTAAAATGAAAATGTGAATCATGACATGCGTTTGGACTATAAAAGATCTAACTCACCATACATATAGGTCCCCTCAGAGTCTAATTTTTTTCAAAGATTAAGCAAACAAATGCTTTATCCTAAATTGACATAAGGGGGAAAATGGCTTTAAAGGGGGAAATGAAAAAACTGACGTCCTCATATAAAAATGAAAACAAAAAGATAACAAACAAGCAAAAACAAGAACAAAACAAAAGAATTACTGAAACTGTTTTAACTTAGTCAGCTTGGCCTATTTAATTTATGGCCTTCAGCACTACACCATCCTTTAAACCCCAATACCATCATCTTCAGTTTTCTCGGCTATTAACCTAAAATTACCGTTGGCAGAACATATACCGTTTTTGTATTTTTTTTTAACTATTTAGTTAATGAACTCTAATTTGGCTTTTTTGTTTCATTTTTGTGGTTTTCTTTGGCAACTCTAGTCTGGTTTATAATTTATAGACAATGAGAAATTTAAGGTTGGGCAGATATCTCTTGAGTAATAATTAATTAGTTGAAGACTGGGGAACATGAAGGAATCATGAATAGTTTACAGTAGTATCGGAAAGTATGAGATGTGAATTAATGAGCGTAGAGCAGACATAACGATGCTCTTGGCAAACATGATGAGGTTGTAAATATTGTTCGGGCTAATCCGTCGACAAACGGTGGAGGTGTGAAAAACTAAATTTTGCGTTTACACGTATCATGATTAATAAGTATGTGTAATCAAATGGTGACGAGTGAAATTAGGGAATAATTTCCCGAGTATATCATTTGATTACCTATTAATATCATGGGTGACGAATTACGTTAGCAATCTTGGATTTTTGACATGTTTATCCTGGATCTTATCGATCGAGAACTCCACTCTCTCGAACGTTTAGAGCTCAAATTTGACTCAAGTTTGGAATTTTTCGACAAAATACCTGTTAGAATCCTTCTTGATTTGCTCTTTGGTGTGTTCAGGTTTTCTAAAGCGTCTTTATATGCCCTGGCATCTTTATTCATGACATTTTAAAACTTTGTCGCCATCTTGACACTGAGACGTACGGAAGGTTGCCATGGCAATTTTTGTAATTTCACATGTGAAATTACAAACTATCGCTGAAATTTCGCGCCAAAATTAAGGAGTAATTCGTCACCTATGATATTATAATGATAATAGTAATAATATAACAATAATAATAATAATAATAATAATAATAATAATAATAATAACAACGATAATGATATTCATTCACTGCTTTCAGAACTGTTGCCTACGTAAGCACAAAAAGTGCGAAAACCTAATGTGATCTCAACGTTGCGTCATTATGAAGTTAAATTTCGTTTTCACAGGAACCACTTGTCACCCAAACATGTGTAAAGAATGAACGAAAAGAAAAGAACAGGTTATGGCTTAAAGGCATTGTCAAAGGGCATTGGAAGTGGGAAGGGAGGGGGGGAGGGGGTAGGCCTTGAGGATAGCTAACATTTTTGTTGTCTTAATCATGAATGAGAAGCTAAACGAAAGCAGCGAAAGATGCAGACAGGCAAACTTTTCAGTACTGATTTCCAACAGAGTAGGAGTTACAGCCCGCTTTTTTCTCACAGCTTTATCAATGTTGGTAAGAATAATTCCAGGGGCAATATTTTTTTAACAGTCAGGCAGCGTTTAATACACTTTTATTAGTGCTCCTGGTAAAGTCTAGAATGATATCACTATATAGGGACATACATTGAGAGTCTTTAAAAATTTATTTATCGTGAGATAAAGTGAAAGTAACCCTAATAGGAATATTGTTGTAATTTACAACACAAATTCCATAACGTTGATGAATTGTTTTTGTTATGGATCGTCGTTACGGTTTCTTGTAATGTCAAGGAAATTGTGCGATACCGTGGTCCGGTGTTGTTGCAATCAAAACAGGGCTGCAAACTAAAACAAAAATGGGGAAAAAAAAAAAAAAAAAAAAAACCCGGAACAAAACAGGGAACGTTCTAAAACAAAAACATGTGGATAAAACATCCCGGAACATGAAAAAATAAAACATCCCGGAACATGAAAAAAAAAAAAAAAAAAACAATAAAAAAAATGAAATAATGATAACAACATAATTTTTGTAAAAATTAATAATAACAAAATAACACAAAATAACAAAACAACGAAAAATTAAGAAATCTGGTTAGGAAAAAGAAACTGGTATTATCTCCGAATATGAGAAAAAAATATTTTGTCGCAATTAATTTGTTGGGCGAGTGAGGGTCCATGCAAATGACAGTAATGAGAGAAGACTTGCTTCTAAATTCAAAAATATTGAAATGGGTCGCGAGGAGGAGGGTTTTCAAGCTTTCCTCACACAGCTACCTCTTGTAATTGTTTGCCATGTAAGCACCAACTTCGCTCTCATCAGTTTTGTCGTCAGAGGATACCCAAATCACTTTGACAGCGGCGATCGCCATCTTCAACTTGGCAGAAGAAAATAGGGGGCTGTGATCTCGGATCTTGGCCAGCCATCTCCTCGAGTCGCAAACTTCACTTGCGACTCGGAAGACGGCTAAAATTCAGGCTAATTGATAACAGTTAGAAACTACCACTGCGCTACCGCTGCCACTGCGACTATTCGTGGCGACTGTGAATCTTATCCACAAAAGTCCAAAGCGACGAGCACCTAAGCTCTTCTTACGGTCGCAAAGCCGTAAATCGGTAACCGTTACTAACCCCATTACAAACAATACAACAGGTGGCTGTGTGAGGAAAGCTTGAAAACCCTCCTCCTTGCGACCCATTTCAATATATTTTGAATTTTATTATTATTATTATTATTATTATTATTATTATTATTATTTATTTATTTTTTCATGGAAATTATTTTTATTTTTTCATGTCCCGGGATGTGCCGGGATTCTCCCGATTGTTCCGGCATGTTCCGGAATGTTCCGTGTTCCTGGTTTTATCGACGCCCACAAAAATGCGCTATCTTTGGAGAAAGGGGAGATAAGGATCAAAAGGGAGAGAGTGGGAAAATTAGATCGCCGATGTTAGGTGTAAACTATTATAACTCATTCGAAATACATCTTCGTTTCTGATTGGCTAAAATCCCACGCTTAAATTTATCGTTACCAACTACTGTTGAGCAAATTTGGAAAAATTTTCCGATACGTGACCTGATAACTTCAATCGCGCAGCAAAATTGCCAGATTATTAAACGGGTAACCGAAAAGACCTGGGTTGTAGCTTGCTTTTAAACTAGGAATCATTTTGAATGGATAATAAAACAATTTTTGAGTTCGGCTTTCATATCATCAGAAGAATTGTGGAGATCTCGGAGGGTGATATCTCCATAATTCTTCAGATGATACTCAGCCTCATTCAATAATTGCTAAATATGGCAGCGGTTGGTAATAAATGAGGTCTTCAAAGGTGTTAAGACAACTGGTAAAATGCTGGTAATGGAAGCCAGTCGGAGCATTCCAACATCATCCAAAAATACAATCTGAAGAGCATGGATTCCCACACGTCCCGTCAGCAAGATGAGAAGCAAACTGAATGAAAGCGTTTAAGGGTAACTGCCAAAATTCGACCTTTTTGAAAGGTTACATGATTTCAGCCACGATATTTTGCAGACTTCTAACTTACTGAAGTGCTCCGAGAAAAGTTTAACTATCAAGTCAATATTTCTTCAAAGCAGGAGACAAGGGAACATAATAGTGTACTCAAGACAAAACAGTTGAACCAAAGTACCAGTGTCATTCGATATGGTTTCAGTGTTAGATACATTTTATCACTTCTTGTTATTTTTATAGAACAACAAAGAAAGCTTTTGGTTATACATCATGGTAGATTTGCATTACGAATTTTATTGGATAAGTTTTTTGACATTCCAAATAATCAATGTCGGGTAAACGCCTGAAACGCCACCAAAAGCCTTCATTATTCCGGATGTCACGAAAACCGAATCTATAATTGTTTTATTATACACTGATCGAAGAAAATAACGATAAACAACACCTTTGTAAGTATAACAGTGTGTCTGAAAACAATGCATTGCACACGCAGCAGACAGATTAGTTAGCTGCCTGCTAGAAGTTAACTTCCTTATCAGGTTGTACTGATTTCCAAAATTACCTCTACGCATTTAGGCAATGAGAAGACAGTAAGTGAGACTGGTGAATTGCGAGAAAAATATCTGATCTTATGCGGATAGCTTTC